CACACAACACACAACACACAACACACAACACACAACACACAACACACAACACACAACACACAACACACAACACACAACACGCACAACACACACACACACACACCCTCTGACACAAAAACAGAAAGTCGCATGGTGAGTTCTCAAACCCGAACCCCAAAAAACAAACACATCTAGAAGTCCTAAACGCCCCAGCTGTGCGGGAGGGACCAAAACCCCCAAACCCCTAAGCCCAAATGCCTAAGCCCTAAATTGCTAAACCCTGAGTTGTAGAGTAGGTAACCTTTAACCTCTTTGGGGTAATACCTTATAATCCCAAAGGTTAACCTTTAGTTCCCCCAGATACTGGACAAGTAGGAACCCCTAAGCCCTCTGAGCCCAAAAGCCCCTAACCCTCGAAGCCCAAAAGTGTCAGGAGCGCCTCGAAAAGCAGGTCGACGACACGCGCGCTCTCCGTGCCTTCCCCTTCGTTGTGGGGTTTAAAGAGTAAAGGGGGTTTGGGGGTTTCCGATTTAACGGGGGGTCTAGTGGGTTTAGGCAGAAAGGGCCTCTTTAAGGGGTGTAAAGGGTTCAGGGTTCATGGGGTTTGTGGTGTTGATTGCGGTTTATGGGGTTTAAATGGGGTTTAACATGCAAGAAAGGTTTTCAAAGCCAATGGCTCGAAGTCTGCTACGTTGAGGGGTCGGCTTGTGTTTTTGAATGTTAGAGGGCTTGATAGGTTTTGCAGCTGAGCTTTCTCGTTGCTGAATGGGGGTGGAGGGAGGTGTTCCGTTCAGGTGATAAGAGCGTTCGAGATCGAGATTGTTGGCTGCGCGAGCGCGAATGTCTCGTGCAAGACAAGCTGCAGGAGACGTCCTACTGAGTGAGACATTGCGCGTCTTCCCAGATCTTCCTGTTTCCTGGCTGATTGCTGAGATGTGCTGAGCCGTGTAATATGAGGTGAATCCCTAGGCCCTAAGTCCCACATCGTAACCCTAAACCCTAAACCCTAAACCCTAGATGACCTCGGGAAGGAGAAGCGGGACTTGGAGGAGAAAGTCTTTGCGGCCCAGACCCGGAGCAAGAACCTGGAACATCGTTGCCAAGAGCTGGAGGAGAGTGCTTTCAAGAGGGTTTAGGGTTTAGGGGTTAGGGGTTTAGAGGTTTAGGGTTTAGGGGTTTAGGGTTTAGGGGAGCCCTGTTTTGCAACACATCGCAGCCCCGTAGAGAAACGTCTTGAATGGGCCACATAAGTTTCACTGTTTCGCTAGTGGTGCCTTGTGTAAGGTTGTCTTTGTTTCTTGGTTTGCGGCACTTGCCGCACTTGCCAGGCCATGCTGCGTGTAGCCTATAGACTACGCATGAAGCGTCAGTGTGTTTCTCTATTTGTTCTTTGCCACACAGCCTTTGTAGAACAGGATGTATGACTAGCCGCTGACCACTTTTGTGGTGGCCAGGAGACCCTGAAGCAAGAGCGCAACAACGAGCAGCTGATCCATGCTCAGAAGGAGCCCCTGGTTTTTACTTGTAGTAGGGAGTAAGGAATGAGGGCCCTATATATACCCTTTAAAGGATTATATAGCACCTTCATTCCCTCATTCCCTATTAAGAAACCAGCCAGAGGACCTGGACCAGCGGGAGAGCCTTCTGAACAGCCGGAACCAGGAGCTGCAGGCTCGTCTTCTGGAAGCCGACCGAAACACGGAGGATTGGGTTGCAAACCGCAAGAGGGTTTAGGGTTTAGGGTTTCTTCGGCTTCCGTTGTTGCTGCGATAGAACCTTAGAGCCGAGTCAATCGAGCCAAGTAGAAGTCCATGCGACTCCTGAGGAGCTGAAGCGGTTGCGTCTGGAGCTGCAGGTCAACAAGAAGCAGCTGGACGAGAAGGAGGCAGACCTGACCCAGCAGCAGAACGAATGGAAGCTGCGTGTTCAAGAGCGGGAGTTGAAGTACCGGAGCTGGGAAAGCCAACGCCAGGAGGTGGAACAGCAGAACGAGCGCACTGCAAAGGAGCTGAACTCCATGGTGCAGCAAAGCCAGGAGAAAGTCGTGGAAGAAGTTCGGAAGCGCGCGGCCTTGGAGAAGGATCTCCGGCAGATGAACGAAGAGAAGCTACGCATCGAAGAGGACCGTGCCAAAATGAATGAAGAGAAAGCCCGGCTCAATGAACAGCAGGCTAGACTACACGAAGAGAAGGCCAAGTTACAAGATCAGATCGAGCAGCAGAAGCTCGAGATTGGCAATCTCCGACACCAAGTCGACCTGGATCGCACCGAGCTTGTGACGCCTTGCGAGCTGAAGCGGAGGGCTCTCGCACAGGACGCGGACTTGAGCAAGCGCAACGCAGAGCTCCTGCACGACATCGCGTCCTTCGAACAGGAGATGAAGTGGCTGGCGTCCTGCAACACTGCCCCTTGGGCCGATATTTGGGAAGTGCTGCCCTGGTTGTAATCGACATCTTCGTTGTCAAACTGCACATTCATGACGCTTCATGTGCCTTTGCAATTGTGTCAGGTCCTGCGCCAGCATGTCCCAACAGAGCTCGAGGCGACTGTCAAGGTGGCCCTCGAGAATCTGAGTGGCAGCGAGTGGCAGCCCCCTTCCGAGGAGGTGAGGTTGGAGCAGTGGCTCCGAAATCGGCTTAATTCACCTGCTCGCAGCGGTGCTCTGTAAAGCACACTTGCAACATGGGTAGCTATAAGTAGGGTTACAAGTATGATAAATATATTTGGAATGCAACCCTACTTCTAGCTACCCATGAACCTTCAAGCAGCGGCCCGCGGCGTTAATTTGTCGAGTGTTTCTGTGAAGCTGAACGAACTCGGCAGCACAGGCAACCAGCCAAATCGTTCGTGATCGCAGTGCGTGCTAATCCAATTAAGGCTTATCAGTAGCCCTATCGTGGTGTGTGAGATAGATGCCGTTCAGCACATGCTGGTTGCTGCCGATCTTCGTTTGCACGCTGGCTATAGGCAGCTCTGTCACAGATTCAAGTGCCGTCTGCAGGCACCACGTCCTGTTACCGTGCTAGCATAGACTCAGAGCGTGGAGGATTGGAGCTGTCTACACGAGATAATTCATCAATGTTTGCAACCCTTCGGCTTCGCCCTCAATCTTCTAAAAAGTGAATCGCTTGCGACACAGCTTTTCTTGTGATGGATGCGACGGATGCTCCGGCATGCTCGGTTTGGGTGGGTTTAGGGTTTAGGGCTTAGGGCTTAGGGCTTAGGGCTTAGGGCTTAGGGCTTAGGGCTCACGGCTTAGGGTTTAGGGTTTAGGGCTTAGGGTGTACCGGGGCCTTGTCAAAGCTGACATCCTGCCATTGCGAGAAAGGGCACGTCAGCCGCTTCACATCGAGTGTGCGCTGTGACAGGCAGATGACGTCTTCAATGTCGAGTCTGGAAGGCAAGAGCCCCGCACCAAGCTTTCAGTTCCACTTTTCTTGGGGGCTGCGGCTAGGGACCAACAATCCTGCAGTAATCCTGCAGATTGTTGCTGTGAGGGCTTCATTCGGATATGAGTTATGAGCCAGTCTGGCTTTACGTCGAGTAGACGGTTGCCAAGATCTTCCAAGTCTGAGGCCGGTACCGGCAGACATCTTTGAGATCGGTGATGAGGACCTCCTGGCCACATTCTCAGCTCCAATGTGTAAACCGCAAACCCTAAACCCTAAACCCTAAACCCTAAACCCTAAACCCTAAACCCTAAACCCTAAACCCTAAGCCCTAAGCCCTAAGAACCCTAGACCCTAAGTTCCTCTGGCTGCCGTTGGCTTGGTAGGATTCTTTTAAGGCGCAGGGTGCCTTAGGGTTCAGCAGAACAGAGGGACGCCCATGCTCAAACAGCTCAGCTGATTCAGGCTCCTCTCTTCGAACCTCTCGCAGAGGACTGTGCTTGGTGGTGCCTCAGCCTACGGCTGCCAAGTAAGCAACTCAAGAGTTCCCAAGTGACGAGGGTCCTTGCGACTTGCTGCAATGACTGCCACCCAGAAAAGATGCGGCGCTTTGCCTCCCTCGTGGTTTGGGCTCGGGCGTTTAGCTGTAGATAGACAGCCACGGCCAGAGATTTAAGTACATACTTCAACAGTCTGCAGTCTGCACAAGTAGCCACCGCCAGTTAAGCCCAGACAACAGACCACCAAGACAGTTGCACCGGATTCATACAGGTTCGTAAGCGGAGCAGAGCAATGAGTCTCTCAACTCAGCTAGACCAACTGCCACGGCCTTGGACAAATCAGAGGGTCTCTTGCGCTTGCAGTTGAGTGCTTCCACTTCGCAGGGGTAGGTTTAAACATAATTTGAACATGTAGTACCTGTAGTCCCGTATATACTCCTTATAAAGCCCACAAAAATCAAATTGTTTAGGGGCCCCCAAACCTACCCCAGTTCTGTCTGGACATAGCGCCAGGCTGGGCTATGTTGGCTCAAAGAGGTCCAGAAGTCATGCTGGCCGGAAGCTCAGAGAGACAAGCTGTGCATGTCCTAGTTGCCGCAAGAGATCCCCCAATAGGCGCGCCTGCACAAGGGCATGAGTGACACAGAGAGCCGAAGCCTGCTTGACAACCTGGCCAGCCGTTCTGCTCAAGCTTGCAGCTTTGTACAAGAAATGCGGCTGTGACACGCGGGCTGGGGAACCGTTGCCCTCCGCCGTAGAAACTATCGGCGCGCCCGCCTCCATATCAAGCAATATGCACGCGGTCAAGGCTGGGCATCAAAATTCGCAATCACATCTCCGCGTGTTTACGCTTGAATGCTGCCTGGCAAGGTAATGGTGCTGCTTGTCCTGCTGCACCTCGGTGCATCTGCCGCCCTGCAATCGAACGAGATTTCTGCATATGCTGAAGAGGATCTGCCTGGAACTGGAAGCACATCTCGGAACATCGCCGCGGCGCTGAATGTGCTGGCCACATTGGTAGCATGTATCCTTGTCATAGTTGGGGAACATTTTACATTTTTAAGGGTACTTAAACCCAATAAGGAATAAACATTTAGATTTTTGATTTTATCCCAACAGTGAACAAGGTATGTCGCCCACGCAGAGGCAGAGATTCAGCGCGGCCTTGCACCTCGCCACTGCCTGAGCGTTGCCGAGCGAAGAGGATCCAGAGTCGGCTGCAACAGGCAGCCGGGTTAGGGTTTTGGGTTTATGGTATTAGGGTATAGGGTATTAGGGTATTTGGGTATTTGGGTTTAGGGTTTAGGGTTTAGGTCCGAAATTCGACCGATGCTAGCAACCGGAGCACAGGTTTGCGCTAGTGGCAGCTGGCAAATCAAGATTGTGCCGAAAATCCGCACCGAAAGCATGCATGCGCTGTGTCATGCCTGAGCCAGCATGAGTCACCCTTGCCTTTTGAATCCGTCATTTGTGCCACGACAGCTCTGGCTTTAGATTGCCGCCACTTTCATCACAATGAACATAGATGGACCCTCCTGAGAAGTCGTAGAGCCCTAAACCCTAAACCCTAAACCCTAAACCCTAAACCCTAAACCCTAAACCCTATCTCTTCCCTCGTCCCAGCCATGTCCTGGGGCCCCTGGGGCCGGAAGGAGACTAAGGAGAGCAAGGGCAGCTCGTCCGCCTCCCCGCGCTCGAAGGAGAAGGAGCCCAAGGAGCGATCCGTTTCACCCCTGCAGTCTCTTTGGTCATAGTTGGGTACCATTTTACATTTTGTAAGGGTACTTAAAACCAAGAAGGAAAAAACAAATATATATATATATATATATGGTCCAGTGCTCCCCGGCCCCCCCCTCCCCCCCCCACCCATGGTCTGGAACCCCCCCCCCCCCCCCTGTGGTGTGGTTGGGGGTTGGTTTTAGGGTTAGGGTTTAGGGTTTAGGGTCAGGATTTAGGGTTTAGGGTTTAGGGTTTTAGGGTTTAGGGTTTGGGTTTAGGGTTTAGGGTTTGGGTTTAGGGTTTAGGGTTTAGGGTTTATAGGGTTTAGGGTTTTAGGTTTAGGGTTTTTGGTTTAGGGTTTAGGGTTTGAAAGGTTTTAGGGTTAACCCCCCCCCCCCTGTGGTGTGGTTGGGGGTTGGTTTTAGGGTTTAGGGTTTAGGGTTGGGTTGGTTTAGGGCTTAGGGTTTGACAGGGTTTAGGGTTAGAGACGGTAGACCTGGAGGGGGAAGGGGGGGGGGGTAAACGCCTCACACACATGGGTTTCCCCGAGGGCGCGCTCCGTCAACCGAACACAACACTCAAAACACGGGTTTTGGCGAGGGTCGGCCCCCCCCCCCCCCCCTACCTGACCATACCATGGGGGGGGGGGGGGGGCCGGACACGCCAGACGCCGGACCATATATATATATATATATATATATATATTTATTTATTTATATATATATATATATTTATATTTATTTATATTTATATATTTAGATTTTTCATATCATCCCAACCATGACCTAGGTCTAGGTGGTCTTCGGCCCGGCAAGCCGTGGAACGCACGGTGAAGACTGCAACAGCCGTGAACGCGCTTTCTCGGCCTGCCCGGTCAAACTCACCCAGGCCGCAGCCGATTGGAACAAGCGTGGTGGAGTGGGCTGACCACAAGCAGCTCAAGGAAATCGCCAAGGATCTGCAGCGGCAGCTGCAACGAAAGGAAGCAGACTCACAGCGGCTGACAGAACGAGTGCAGACGCTGGTTTCTTTGCGAGATGAGCAGCTGTCTGAGAGCCAAGCGGAGAGCCGCAGGCTGCATTATGCTCTGGAGCAGGAGGAGGCAGGGCTTCCATTTCCATAAAGCTTGCAAGTCCCTGGGGCCCGAAGCCACCAGAAACCTTAAAATCATACCAGCTGATGCAGCTAATGCAAGCACAGGTGGTCTCAGCCAGTCAATTTCGCAGGCATTTCCGGGTCTGCAAATTCCTTCGTCTGTTCAAAGCACAAGCCCTCTACAGAAGCAATGGGCCACCCACGGCATACAAACGTCTATGAGCCAAGCGCTTAACGGGAGGGCCTAAATTCAAAAACCCGAATCCGCAAATCGATGGCCTGAAATTCTAGTAGGTGCCCAGCAGGAACCGCCTGCATTTGTGGCGTCAGGCTCCAAGAATCTTTCGGTTTTTTTGACCTTAAAGCCGCCAGCATAAGACAATTCGACCCTTCCTAAACCCTAAACCCTAAACCGCGCGATCTGAGCATGGCAGAGACAGGTGGAGGTGCAGCGCCTGAAAGGACGAGACTCTGAGTTGCAAGAGGCCTTGGCGGACGAGGCAGGCTCTGCAGCTGTCGAGGGTTTAGGGTTTTGGGTTTTTGGTTTAGGGTTTAGTGGTTTTGGTCTCTTGTGTTGGGGGGGGGGGGGGGGGGCAATGTTCTGTCAGCTACTTCTTGAGGGCAGGATGAGGGAGTGAGGGCTGGGAGATAGCTGAGTTTGCAGGGTCACTCTCGGACCCTCAGCCCTAAAACTCCTAGCCTAAACCCTAAACCCTAAACCCTAAACCCTAAACCCTAAACCCTCAACAAAAAACGCCCTAAACCCTAAACCCTAAAACTCCAGGGTGCTGGTTTTAGATACTCAAGGTCTCTGGACGACAGCGGGCTGAGCAGCAGCTGAGACAGCCATGCAGGGACTGTGCCGAATACCGAGCGCAGCATACTGAGATGATGGCCGAGTGTCAAAATCTGCGGGTTCAGCTTGTTGAGTTTGAAGCACTAAAGCTTCATCTCCAAAAGGCACGCTTGAACCAGGAGCGGCTAAGAGCCCAACTGGTCCAGGATCTGACACAGCTCTTAGCGCGACATCAGGACGATCCTGCTGGGAGGGAGCTCGCGCCCGAGGATCAAAAAAGCAGCGCCGGCCACGAGAACGCGAAAAAGGATGGGGCGAAGACTCGCTGAGGGTCAGCTAAGACAATTCGTTGCATGTGCTGAGACTGTTGGCCATGTGGTTATTACCCAAAATAGGGGCACCCTTCCCAAAATAGATAGGGTACCCCCATTTTCGGAAACCCCCATATCGGGCCACATGCCGGCACGACACGCTCAGGATCCAGATCCAATGCAGCGTCGAGCCTTCCCCGCATTCCGTGAGGGACTTAAACTGAAGCAGAGTTCAATGTCATCGCCACTCGGCCCCCCCGTGCTGCTTGTTGGTGCGCTCTCTGTACATCCTTCATGAGTAGCTCTTCATCTTTTGCTTCTTGACATCGTCAGGTCTCTTATGAACGATCCCAAGACGAGCAAGGCAGAAGAAGTCTGAACATGTCCAGCAGATGCGCCTGACTGTTCAAAATGGGCACAAGCATCATGAACAACAGCTGGATGGCAACTTGCGCACATCGGACTACCCGTGATCTGACGTGGCGCCGAGCTTGCTGAGACTTAGTGGGCGTTGGGGAGCCGAAATGAGCGATGCGCGCTGACATGGACACGGGATGCATCGAATCTGTTGCAAGTTACAAGAATACCCCCCAACAAATTGACCCAGAGGAGAGCTTACACCACCTACAGGACCCACAGTCGCTTCCACTATTTTCCTTCAGCCATGGCTTCTCCTGGCAAGCGAAGCGCCGCGGCCAAGCGACGGGCCCCAACCTTGGCAAGTGTGGCAATCTGTATCGGCTTGGCTTCCGGCATCCCCGGCGTGGGCCTTGATGCGTTTGCCGGATCTTCCCATCAAAAGGTGGAAAGATCGAGGCCGAGGAGCTTAGACTTCTCCCATGAAGGGAAGAGGGTTCATCGAGCCGTCAGACAGGCGCAGGAGGGGCGTTTCAAAAAGCACCCAAAGAGCCCAAGACCCCTTAAGCAAGGAATATACCTTAAACCATATTAAGGATCCTTAAAACATATATGGTATATTCCTTCATTGGGCAGGAGTCGGAAGCGAAAGAGAAGATCAGATGGCTTGACCCTCTGGATGAAAAGAGTGAAGAGATTGAGCCGTCGGAAAATGCAACGGTGATGCCAGTGTTTCCCCTCGGGGGCCCTTTCATGCCCTACACGAAGCAATCGCTCCAAATCTTTGAGCCCCGATACCGTCGGCTCTATGACGACATCTTGCTTTCAGGATCCCGACGGTTTGTGGTCACCTCAGTGGATCCACGGTCGGAGGCCGATCTTCGTCTAGCAGAGGTCGGCGTCGTGTTCTATCTAGATGACCTGAAGGATCTGTCGGAGCAAACCCAGGACAGGGTGAAGTACGTGTGCGAGCACCGCATCATTGGCCGCGTGAGCCTGAAGCGTGTGCTGAATCCGGCTGACTGGTTCTCACGCAAGACCTACTTGCGTGCAGAGACGATCCCAGTCGAAGACACCGATGCCGAAGTGGACTCATCCCTTCTGGAAGAGGAGGTGATGCAGCTGATGCGGGACTTGGTGCCTTTGTATACGGAGCTGCAGCAGCCCACCTACGAGATGCGGCTTCTCGAGCAAAAGAACTCCAGCAGGGCGGAGGAAAACGGCCTCTGGAGTTTGGGGGAGGTTTGGGTGATGCTGCTCAACGCTCAGCTGCAGACCAAGCGGAAGTCGTTCGAGGGTCGGCTTCAGGAGATTCTTCGTCCATATGCCAAGGGTCAGACACAACTTCGCATAGAGGAGCTTCCTCCTGAAGCGATGGCGGACATCAAAAAGCTGGAGCAGGAGTTCCAGGCCCTGGGAAGCAAGATGATGATGCAGCAACTCGAATTCGGCCAGTTGCTGATACAGACAGATTCGCACAAAGGACGACTTGAGCAATTCAAAAGCACGTTAGATGAGGAATACCGAAAACTTATAGCCCAAAAGTCTCTGAAGTCTCTTCTGTAGGAGACCGATGAGCCAGAATATCCAGCGTCATCGGGATCAAGTCATGACAAGTACACCGGCCCGGAGAGCCCAGTTACCCCCTTAATTCAGCAATAAGCTCATTTTTTTAAGGATCCTTAACATGGTTGAAGGTGTGTATATAATATATATATATATACGCCTTATTCAAGGGGTATTGGGCTCTTTGGGTGCTTCTTGAAACCTTACACTCCACCTAGGTCACCTAGGCCACTAGGTGCAGGACACAGCGTCTTAGGACTAGCAAGTGTTGATTCTTCTGCGGCCCTCCTCTGGGATGGGAGGGGATCTTCCCCTGCTTGCACGCAAGTGCGTGTAGCAGGGGAGGTTTGCGGAGCAAGGCCTGATGGCGCTGGCATGGTTTGAGAATAGCTTCGCATAGCATTTTCCAGCTGGAGAAGGGACACTCAAGAGGCGCTCAGGAAAACAAAAGCGGCGCCTGCCTCTGCTTCGCTTTGCCTGCACCTTTAGGGTTTTAGGGTTCTAGGGTTTAGGGTTTAGGGTTTTAGGGTTTAGGGTTTAGGGTTTTAGGGTTTTAGGGTTTAGGGTTTAGGGGTCTAGGGTGCCTTTATGTGCATGCGCGCTGGCACTGCCGAAGGCGGTCGCGACGATGAGGCAGGAGATTGAGAAGCAGCAGGCCCAGGGCTGCCCTAAACCCTAAACCCTAAACCCTAAACCCTAAACCCTAAACCCTAAACCCTAAACCCTGTCATGGCGCTGTGAGCAGGTGGACGTGAGCCCGGCCCGGCGTGGAGTCTCCTCACATTTCCGCAAGGGAAGTCCCAGGCGCCAACTGGCGGCCACCAGCGCACACTGGCGCGGAGCTTCGGGGAGCCCCAGGCGTCATGGACGAAGCGCTTCCAAACCAGGAGGTTATGGGGGCAAACTTGGCTACGACACCAGCTACAACCCCTCGAAGACTTCGCAAGGCCTGTTCAGCTCCGCAGCAGACGTTAAAAACTGTCGACTCGTCGCAAAGCATGCTCGGCACGTCTTCAAACATGCTTCATGACATCTACTTGAGCGGACTGATTCCCAGCAGGTGCCTTTGACGATGAGCCGTATGCATACTCCGACCTGACCAGCGGCGGAGGACTGACTGCTCTCTCTAGATGCCACCTACTCGTACGCCGTGCTGTGCCCAGCGCCTGCCTAATTACCCCGTGACACCAACCCCCCACTACTACATGTGCAAACCGTTTAAAAACCACCAATCGAGGTTTCTGTTACTGTATGGGCGTTACGGCTAACGGTCTGCCACCCAACCCTCCCTTCGACATGCAGTCGGCCGGCCACATTGCAGGCCTCAACCCTCCAACAATTGGAGGGTTGAGTTTGAGAGTTATATATATATATATATCCCTTCTTACACACTATACCAGTCACCCACACTTGGGATCCTTATGTCAAGGGTAAAAGGGGCCACAAAATTTAAGAGCCTCCGGCTCCAGCCGCAGACTTTGCAGGAGAACAGGGTGTAGGGTTTAGGGATCACCCCTACATGATTGCAGCGGGGGAGGAGGCTAAAACGATCACAGATTGCTGAAATCATTTCCGACCCTCGAAAATGATTGCGGGGGGTCTGGACTTGGATATTACGTGCAACGTAAAAATCAGCAAACAAAAATTGCAGGGTCTTGACCTTGGACGTACAAATCAGTGAAAAAATGATTGTAAGGGCGGTCTTGACCTTGGAGTCCGCCAACGTAAACATCAGCCAAAATGATTGCAAGGGGGATGGCTACCTTGGGGCAGAGTCTCGAAAAAAATGCATTCGAGACCATTCGCAAAGTTCTAGTCCGAGCCGAAACCCTAAACCCTCTTCTCTGCTTGTGAGAATAAGTACTATTGTTAATATTCTTATGAATGTTTCTAATCGTCGTTCAAGTGTGTGCTTTCGGCCACAGTGAGGGGGAATGGGTTGCACATTTTGGGCGCTTCACGAGGTGAAGCAGCCTTCTCCAGGCACCCTGGAAATGATTTGGGAGGGGTCAGCCCCGCCGAGGCCCTCGTGCAATCATGATTGTCTGACCCGGCGGGGCCTCGACACCATCATCGTGAGATACACAAGCTCTCGACAAAAGAAACTGTTTGCTAGAGTCAATCAATCGACGTTCGAGAGCTTGGCGGTTCACAGCACATACCAGCACCACCGCCAGAAAGGCAGCTAGATGAGCGGGCGAGATGATGGTGCCTCGACACTCCGGACAGCCACAGACAGCCCATGAAGCAGCACGACATAGCATCAAAGGGTTTAGGGTTTAGGGTGTAAGCCTCAATAGGAAAACCCGGAAAAGACGGGTCTGACCCTCTCTTAATGGGAAAACCCGGAAATGATGGCAGACGTGTCGGACCCTGTCTGTCCGGTGGGAGGCGGCGGTCCTCCCCGAAATGGGAGGGCGGACCCTTCTCAACGGAAAACCCCTGGGATGGTTGCAGATGGGTCTGGTTGCTGGAGGGTCCCCCCACGAAATGGTTGCAAGGGGTTAAATTTGATAGTGTGGAGTGTGGGTGATGTTTAGGGTTGAAGCCTCCCCTTCAGCGTCCGGAACCTTTGCAGCGGGGGGGGGGGGTGGTGTTGGGGGGCTTTGGGGAAGGTTGGGGGGATGTTAGGCAGTTGAAAGGGTGAAGAGGTTGAAGGGGGTCCCAGGAAAGTCCCAGAGGGTCCCAGACAATGTTTCGGGGGGGTGCAGCAGGGTGGTCCTTGACGTCGCACGGTGCGGGTTGCGGGGCACCCCCTCAACCCTAAACCTGCGAGAGTCGAAACCCTAAACCCTAAACCCTAAAGGGGTACACATTGCCGTGGCTAGTCGGGTGGCAAAAAAACCCTTGGAGACGAAACCCTAAACCCTAAACCCTAAACCCCAAACCCTAAACCCTAAACCCTACCCCTAAACCCTAAACTTCCAGGGCCCTACTCCAACCTTCGAAGCCGCAGGATCGCCAGCTTGGGGAAAGCGGGCAAGACAGGAGAAGGGTTTGGAGAGGGCCGGTTTAGGGTTTTAGGGTTTAGGGTTTAGGGTTTAGGGCTTAGGGTTTAGGGTTTAGGGTTTAGGGCTTGGGTTTAGGATTTTGAGGTTTTCGGGCTTCGGATTTGGGGTTTTAGGTATATCGTGGGCTGCTGTGAACCGAGGCCTGCTGTAAAAGGGTATAGCGTTTCGAATGCCTGAGAGAGACAGAGGGTATAGGATTTTGGTCTGGGGCTTAGGGTTTGGGGTTTAGGATTTGGGGCTTAGGGTTGAGGATTTTGGGGTTTTGGGATAGAGCCCGGATGCAAAAAAGGACTTAGGGTTTGAGATTTCGGATTTGGGGTTTGGCTTATACTGCTTCTCCCAGCTGGAAATAATTCGACTTCCTAGACCCAAAATCATAAAATGTGAAGGGAGCACTACTCATGCGTTCAATGCGCTCACCAGATAATACAGTAATACACTAACAAAAAGTGAAAAAAACAAAAACGAAGAGAGTGTGAAACCCAAGAAAAATAGGTGAATGAAGTGCTATTGTGGATAGTAATCCAGTGCACCCTCAAGGTTCCTTCTCTATTTCAGTAACAGGGCTTCCGGGGGGGGGAAAAAAAAACCATTCGGGGGGTCCCTTTACGGAGATTCTACTCTCTTTGGGGCGATAAAAGGGGTACCCCTATTTAGGAAATACCCATCAGGTTTTGCAATCATTTCTAAGGGCATTTAGAACTCACTTCGTCTGGCACATCACAAGTCTGGGTTTTCATGCGCTCATTCGTTGGTGAATTAGATTCTATCGGCGAAGTGAAAGCAATGAGGGGGGTTCATAGCTGCCTTAGCGGCTTTAGCGAATAAGATTACAGCCAAGCCATTCGAGTTTTCGGAATTACAAGGACGCAAGGACACGTGAATTATATCATCTTGCGAGTGAAATACCCGCACTTTTTTTCGTATGATCTTCTTCTTCGTGCGGGAACTACACGAAACACACTATATTATATATTATATGAGCATATACATATATATATTTATTTATTTATTCACTTATATTTATATAAATAAATAAATATAGATCTATCTACTTCTAAGACAAATATAAATAAAACAAACAACAGCGAAGTAAAGGAGTGAGTGCACAAAAAAGCCTGCTGAAATATGAAATTACGAGCGGCATTTCGCGTGATTTTTCATTGATTTAGCAGGTCTCGCCATGATCTTTTCGGCTACAGTTCTACTTAGGCTGTCCAGCTGTCCAGGATGAGATGGTCCACGAAGAGGGTTCAGGGTTTATGGGGCTCCGAGCATCTGGGGCACATATTATTATCGCATATTGTTGGCTCAAACCCGTGGTGGAGCATGCAGCTGTGCTTAGGATTAGTGCGCACAGTGGCTGCTACATGAGAGTTTCCATCCGAGGCGGCACATCACGACAGTCATTTCTGCAGTCCACGCTTGATCCTATATATACACGTGCACACGCGCACACACTCACGCCGACATATTTCGCACTTCTGCGGGTGCGCAACCTGGCGCACCTACATCTGCCGACCTAAGTTTTCGCATCCCCCCAACCCCTCAAGTGAAAGTTTCAGAACGGGTCCCAGCTTTTGCCGCACTGTCGCACCATGGCGGCATCCTTCCTGCCGATCCACAAGCAGGCCAGGACCTCCAGGGTTTAGGGTTTCGGGTTTCGGGGGCGAACGTGTTTTCATTACAGTTAAAAGTTAAAGGGCATCTTGAAACGAGCTGTAGTCTTTTAAGCAGGCCCAATCGCTTTGCAATGCGGTGATTAAAAAAACACCTCAAACCCGAACGAAGCAACTCGGGTCCATCTTTTTGTAGAGGATACCTGAGTGTATACTTGGGCCTTAAGGTCAGGGCCCAAGTGTCTCCGATATGGGGATGCTGAGCGCTTCAGAGCCCAAAACCCTAAACCCCAAACCCCAAACCCTTAACCCTCAACCCTAAACCCTACCACCCCTTGAAGCGTGCAGGCGCCGCCCAGATCCAATTCGGTGACGAAGCTGGGCGCGTCGCCGGGGTCGCGGCCAGACACGCCTGGGCAGATCAAGCCACTGAGCTTCCTTCATTGGGGCCCCCTTAGAGATTTTTGAATTATTATATATATATATATACACAATACGAAAATAGTTTAAGGGGGCTATTATATATATATATATACATATTATAAATAAATGAATCAATGAATAAATGGATAGATAAATATAAATATATATATACATACATATATATATATATATATTTATATTTATAAATAACCGTTGCGTCTTTCACGCCTCCTGAAAGCAGAAATGCGGCAAAGCCTTTGTGCAAAGGCGAGTATCCAGGCCATCATCTTCTCAATCGACAAGAGGAGGTACGCCAGCGGCGCAGCGTTTGGAGAGAATTGAGCTCCAACACATAACAATGGGCAGATCTGTCCAGCAATATTGAGGGTTTCCGAAATTAGGGATACCTCGTTGGGATCCTTTTTATATGGGATCCGAGTATTTGGGGATCTATATTGGACCCTAAACCCTAAACAACCCCCCCATATCCAGCAATGAAGGCACCATGTGTGGCGCCTCGCTTCAGCAGCTGCCTCCAGAACCCTCGTGCTCCTCTCGAGCAGGTGCAGCTTAGGGTTTAGGGTTGAGGGTTGAGGGTTTAGGGTTTAGGGTTTAGGGTTTGGGTGCAGCTGATGCTCACGAAAGTCGACATCCGATGAGCGAGGTTGTAGATTCAGATGGAGGACAGCTTCAGGCACCCTAAACCCTAAACCCTAAAAGCTGGTGCAACAAGATGACTGACCGCCGTCCTGAGGAAGTCACGCAGGCAGTCTTGGGGCATCGCTCCAGCAGCCGCCATCCGAGCGGCCGCCATCTTCAGAGGCGCGTGCGGGCAGGGGGGGGAGGGGGCGGAGGGGGGCGGGGAGGGGGGCGGGGAGGGGGGGGGGGGGGGGGGGGGGGGGGGTGGGGGGTGGGGGGGGGAGTGGGGGGGTTGGGGGGGGGGAGGGGGGAGGGTTTTAAGGGTTTTAAGGGTTTTAAGGGTTTTAAGGGTTTTAAAGGTTTTAAGATGTTTTAAGGGTTTTCAGGGTTTTCAGGGTTTAAAGGGTTTAAAGGGTTTAAAGGGTTTAAAGGGTTTAAAGGGTTTTTCCCGAGTCTGCGAGAGAGAGAGAGAGAGAGGGTTTATCGTTTAGGGTTTAGGTTCAGGGTTTAGGGTTGGGGGTTTTGGATGGATTTGCGTGCTACATTGCTGAGCTTCTTGAGTATGCCTTTGTTTTGACGAATGTTGTGTCATCAGTGCCGCCAGCTTCTGACTCGCATGGACAGGCCATGGGCGCCCTCCCGAACGCCGTGCCAGAGGTGTTTGAGGAAGTCGTGCCGCCACCTCCGCCTCCGCCGCCACAGGCCGAGGAGGGGCTGTAGAAAACTATGGGGTTCAGGGTTTAGGGTTAGGGTTTAGGGTGTAGGGTTTAGGGTTTAGGGTCGATATACTCACGGCCTTGCAGATTTCTTTCCTGAATTCACGCGTGCTTCCTCATGGTGATATGGGTGCATAGAACAGTTTGCGTGATGTTTTGCGTGATGTGACTTCTAAGAAGTTGCATGTTTGCCGGCAGCCTCCAAAGTCCGTTGCTCAAAAGGGTTTTGCTGCCGGGATACTGTATGACTGTATAGGGTGATCAGGGTGTACGCATCGGACAGGCCTCCACATCTCAGAGGCAATCAGCATCCTGTGTGCGACTTCTACAACAAAAACAGTGGCCATTGTCATCGGAGTACTGAAAGAGAAAACGCCAGAGAAAACGCCACCAAGTGTCATGCTCGTAGACTGGGCCTGGGCAAGGCACCTGAAGACACGAATTGAGGGGGCACAGTGGCAGCATGCGGCAGCGCGGGTCCTGAAGGTCGTGTCAAGTTGTGGCTTTTGCCCGATTCCAAACAGGAGCATACTCTGGAGCACCTTTCTCAGCAGGATGATCCTCTCAAGGAGTCTTGCCCCCTCGGGGACAGGAAGTGTTAAGGTGTGCAAGTCGGTTTTGGAACCTGATGTGTGGTTCTCGGGGGTCAGAGTCAGAGGTGGAGTGTCGCAGGTAGCCAAGTCACAAGTTCAGTCTGCGGCGCGCTGCGCCAGAGTTCCTCCGTCCACGAGGACTTGGGATTGCTGGTTCGCCGTGACTTCGGCGACAATGACGATCAGCTGTCAGATGATGAGCCTCGTGGCGAGACATGGGGGAATCTCGTGTTGGAGTTCGTATTATTAAGGGGATCCTACTATTCGTCCTACTATTCGGGGTCTACTTGTTGGGGGTCCCCTGTTGTCGTCAAACCCCAAATCATCAGCGGTTCCCGGCCGGCGACAGGTCACGCAGAGGCTGCGGCCCTTAAGGGGCGAGTCAGGGGTCCCAACAAGGAGTATCAAGTACTTGGGCTCTTGAGCATCAGAATCTTGCAGTTTTTCAGGTGCCCAAGACAAGACAGGAGGAAATCAACCCTTACTTATCTAATCATTTAGTCATGACAGCTTCCGGCCCAATCTTAACATGTTGAGGTCACGGTCACAGCGTTGGATAGAGGCATAAAGCCAAGCCAGCTTGGGGTATGAAAGGCGCGCCCATGGGCCCCAAGTTGTGGCCGGACCCACCAGGGGGTTTGAACTTAGGGGTACCTTATTTAGGTACTTTTTCCATAAGGGGGTCATACTATTTTGGGGTCTGTGTCAGGGGTCCCTTATTTTCGTAAACCCCACCAAGCGAGAGCCAATGAGCTCCGTGGTTGTGGAGAATGCCGTGACAGGCACGCTGATATGCGAGCGCACTGTGTTTCCAGATATGACGGTCAAGCAGCTGCAAGATGCTGTGCAGTCTGCTCTGCAAGACAGCGGCAGCGCCATTGGCTTTGGCAAGATCACGCTGCTGCACGAGGGAAGCTTTCTGACAGTTGGGGGCCACACCTTGGAGCAGGCTGGTTTGCATGGTACGTGCTTGGTTCAAGCACTGCAGTGCCAGCGAGCTCTGATGGCAGCAGCCTGTGACGACAAGCACATCGCCTTGGTTGATTCGGAAACACACTTGGCCCTGCACTCCTTCGTGGCGCACTCGCGCGCTGTGCTGTGCGTTGCATTCGCTCCTGGTGGACGATTCCTAGCCAGCGGCTCGCAAGACAACACGGCTCGCATCTGGGAGGTCAGCCAGGATATGCCGTGCATTCAGGTACTGACAGGCCACCAAGATGCTGTCGCGGCATTGGCTTTCACACCCGATGGCGGGCGTTTGCTGACTGGCTCCTGGGACGAAACTGCGAAGCTCTGGTGTTGGGAGGCGGGGGTTTGTCTTTTGACGTTTTCTGGCCATACGAAGTCGGTCAACTCTGTCTCTATTTCTAGCGATGGACGGCTGATTGCGACTAGCTCCAATGATGAGACTGCACGAGTTTGGTGCAGCGAAGGAGGCAACGGCCTGCTTTCGCTCTGTGGGCATCAACATTTCGTAGTTTCGGCCAAGTTTTCTCAGGATGCATCCACCATTTTGACTGCTTCTCTGGACCGCACGGCGAGATTGTGGGATGTGAAAGACGGCCGGTGTTCGGTGATCTTTGCCGGCCACGCCAGCTTCGTGCAACATGCTGACTTTTCCTGGGATGGTCACTTGGTGATTACTGCCTCTGAGGATGAGACCGCCAAGATCTGGCATGTTAGTGGAGTCTGTTTGTGCACAGTGCTTGGGCATGATGCTGGGCATTGCCGGGAGCTCATCCACGCAGCCTTCGGCCCACAAGATCAAATGGTCCTGGCCAGCTACGGCGGTCAGATTCACTTCTGGCAGCAGGCTGCCTCGGCCTCAGAAGCACCACGTCTGCTGGGCACCACTGCCCTTCGCCACCGATGCTTGAATGGTGTTGCATATTTTTGGCCAGGCACAGACGCGTAGGCGTATCTTAGGGCAAATGGAGGAAGTCTCCTACAAGGCTGAGGCAGGGCATGACGAAGCAGATGCGCCGATTCGTCAGGAGAGGACCTGGCTTGGGGCGTGCTTATGCGTTCACTGGCGCCTGGCTTGCTTTGGACAGCGACTGGCAATTCCAACATTTCTGCCCTGTGCATGGCAGTCTGAGTGGCCTGTGCAAGCAAGCTTGTGGGGCCTCATAGGGCAGAACGGTCGCGACATCATGGGCAACCGCACAAAATCAAGTTCAACAACGAGGAGCCAATGAGGGAAGCGCAAAGTCCTCGATGCTCGCAAGCTTGTTCATGGTACTCCAAAAGCCACGCGCCCCCCATCCAACCCTGAGCCGGACCATGTTTCGGGCATGTGTTTATTTGTCCGAAAGTGCTCAGATCAGCATGAAGCTGCATGAAGCTGGCGTGGGGCCGGGGTTGACCTAGAAGCTCTGCACTCCTTCTCTGAGTTGGGTTTCCAATGCCTCAAGCTTACAGGTCTTCGGGGGTGCTCGTCGGGATGGTTTCATTTTTGGGTCTTTCGAGTTGTCTCAGCTTTGCTGCTCTTCATTCTGAATCGAAGGAGTCTCCATAGTCACCCTGTCGATCTAATATGATTTCAGAAGTAAACCACAAAACAGGGAAGAAACGTACGAAATAGAGGAAAGTCTCGCAGGAAAGGGCCAGGGCAGTTACAGGGAAGAGCCCAGACCTCGTGACAGGAACCAAATAGAGTTTCGTTTTTATAGGTTTGTATTTGAGTCCAGGGTTTGGTCTTTAAGGTTTCGGGAAGCCCCTCTCTGAAGCCAAGAGTCTAAACCAGCCCAATTGTCGGGCTGCATGCTCCTATCCGGGGAATTCCTGAACCCTAAGCCCTAAACCCTAAATCCTGAACCCTAAACCCTAAACCCTGAACCCTGAAACCTAAACCCTAAACCCGCAACAGGCATCCCTGAGCGATCGCGGATGTGTGCACGAGTTCCCTTTCTTCGCCGCTCCCCATCCCGTCATCCCCTGCGATTCCCGACCTCTTCCATGTTGGCAGGGTCTAGGGTTAAGGTTTTAGGGTTCAGGGTTTAGGATTTAGGGGCCATGGTGGTTTCTGTCACGCCTGCCGGCCGGGAGTTCGTCTCCAGGGGTCTGGTTGAAGCTGTGGCCGAGCCCTTTCTTTTCCCGACTGGGCTTTCCCCCTGTTTCGTCGAACGCCCTTCTATCCCCCACTTTTGTCCTCGAGGGGTGGGGGGGGGGGGGGTTCCCCAGTGCAATATTGCACGTTGGGCCGGCCTAGGAAACCGAGGCAAAGGGAAGCGTGGCAACAAATGACGTTGGAACCTAAAACATTGCACCTCAAAACCCTCCATGCTGCGTATCTTCTACCCTCAGTATGATAGGGGGGGCCGCCCCATGCATGCTGATCAGCAAGCTTCAAAGCCATAGGGAGGGGGGGGGTTGAATGTGGAATATTGCACGTGGTGACGTCCCCCCCCCCCCCCCCCCAAATAGTGGGGGATGCCCTTCTCAGTTCTGAAACCCTAAACCCTAAACTCAGGCTCGCACCACCTCCAAGGGGAGCGGCCGCTCGACATTCGCAAGGGCGCAGCGGCGTAGTCTCTTTTTTTGCACGAGAGCATAGGGGCTCCAGGCTTGCAGGGCTTCAGTGAATTCAGTGGTGCAGGATCATAGTACAAAGATATTTCAGAATGACATCATGTTGTAATGATACAAAATACAAGAACATATTCTTACAAAATATAACATTTCAGTAGAATAACATTAAAAAACAAAATAACAGAATGGTTTAGGAATACAGTCGTATAATATTACAAGTAATATAAAATACTAGCATAATCAGAATGATCTAGTAAGATTCTACTCGACGAGTATCCCCTCCTCAGGTGCAGAGTTTTTCCTGCACCCGTGGGAAGCGAGACAAAGTTGCTTCGCTCAGCTTCTCTGGCAGAGCCTCGCCTGCAGATCCCACGGTTTAGGGTTTAGGGTTTAGGGTTTATAGGGTTTATAGGGTTTATAGGGTTTATAGGGTTTATAGGGTTTGTAGGGTTTATAGGGTTTATGGGGTTTATAGGGGTTATAGGGTTTATAGGGTTTATAGGGTTTATAGGGTTTATAGGGTTTATAGGGTTTAGGGTTTAGGGTTTAGGCTGTTTGAGTGCACGGGGTGAGCGTATGCCATGCCAGCATAAGATGACCGATTCGAAGATGACCAGAAGCCGCAAGTTTGTTCTAGGGTTTAGGATTTAGGGTTTTGGGTTTAGGGTTTAGGGTTTAGGGTTTAGGGATGCTGCCAGGCATGTCGGAAGCCAATCTCCATGCCTCCCAGTGGCTCGAGACGATGAGCTCACCAGCGGCCATGCAGGGCACCAACATGAAGTGGGCATCTCTGGCAGCAATAACTTGCCCATGCAAGTTCATAGCCTTATGGGTTTAGGGTTTAGAGTTTAGGGTTTAGGGTTTAGGGTAAGGGTGGCAGGCCTACACCCAAACGGCAGTCCTGAAGTTTGTTGGTTTTGCTCGCGAGAGTGCTCGTAAGGTCAGGGGTGAAAGCTTGGGCGGCAGCCTTAGTTGTCCACATGAAGTCCTCATCAAGGCACGCCAAAATGTCAGAGCGGTCACTCTGGTTTTCCTTGAGGTCGGGGCACCCTGGGCAATGTCTTTCAGGCCCTAGATCAGGAGACCGGCCAACTCTTTGCCGTCAAGGAGGCTTGCACGGTGGAAGAAGACGGGGGAATCAACAGCCCGGAATAGCTACACACGTCCACTCAATGTGTAACTCCCCGCAGCTGTGGGCGATGACGACAATTTGCCGTGCGCAGTACTCAGCCCAGCTATTGCAGCCTGCGAGCTGAGAATGCTGCAGTCATAGTAGTTCATCATTGCTATACAGGGGTTCATTGTCAATGTAAGGGCCCTCGTGGGGATGAATATGGATGAGTGATGGAGCAGGAGAATGTTCTGCCCATCGTTCTCTCATCACCCGACCCGTTGTGCGTTCTCTCTTCAGGTCCTGTTTCGGGCTTGTGGCGTACGTACACTCATCTGCACGTTTCGCGCGCAGTGTCCTTGCACGACTTGAGCACGCCTTCCACAAAATGGAGTTGGCATTGCGCTTTGCTTGCCACTGACAGTCTTGTGCTGAACAGTTTGGCTGCAGGTCCTGATCAACACATCAGATGCGGCTGATGTTCAGTTCAAGCATGCGCTGGAGAACGAGATTCAAATCTGCTCAGCTCTCAAACATCCAAGAGCCTTGGTTGGATTTCCGCCTTGCTTAGAGATTCAGCAACTTCTCTTGGCATGGGGAAACCGACGGGTGCATGGTCCAAAGCCATTGAAACTCTTTTTTCTGTCCGAGAGAACGCGCAATGTGTCCAAGGCATCGTCACGTATCTAGGCCACGACTCGATCGCAGCGCTCTCAGGAATTGGGTTGCTTGGGGACCAAAGGAACCCGATATATGGGTCATATACCCTGTACTACCATAATCATTATAATCCTTGCGTATGAACCATACACCCTTTTAGGGTTCGTTTGGTCCTTGAGGTTCTGTGAGTGTTGGCAGCAAGTTGGAGAAAGCCTTGTCTTGATAAGTTCCTCAAGGATGGGTGCCTGTATATCTACATGGAGTACATGATCGGTGGGTCGATGGCAAGCGTGCTTCATCAGTTCGGTGCTTTCGAGGACGATGCTGAAGTGTTTCATTGCACATGACATGTTGCAATCTCTGAATCGCGGCCGGCCGGAGCAAAGGACCAATTTGTGCTGATTCCTTCACTTCCCATACAGTCAGTTTCAACAGTGCGGGCAAGACTGAAATTAGAGCCTGAAAGCGAGGAGAGTTTGGTCAGCAAGTACGCGCGGGATATGTTGGAAGGGCTGGCCTACTTGCACACACAAGATCCGCCAGCACCCTGGTAGCACCAGATAGCGAGCACCTCCTCCCAAACATTCGTTGCGTGCACCATGAGTGCGACCTTCAAATCGAGCAAACGCAGGAGGTGAGATGACTGAAGGAATTTCAGAAATCCTAGAATGTCTGTACCCCTGGGGCCACACCAGAAATCAACAGATTTTCGGGCTTTAGAAATTTTAGCAGTTTCGGGAAATGCCGAAATCGCCGAAATTCCAAGAATTCCTAAAACCCTAAGATTTCTAGAACATTAAGAATCCTAGGAATTCACGCAACTTAAATTCTAGAATTTCTGTGGCCCTGGGGCCACCCCAGACATCAACAAATTTTAGGACTTTCCAAAATTTCAAAAAGTCTTGAAATTTTCGGGTGTTAGAGATTCTAGAAATTTCTGGAAAGGCCGAACTTCCTGCAATTCCTAACATCCTCAACTTTTAAGAGCTTTAGAAATTTTAGGATTTTGTCACAAGCCGAAATTCCTAGAATTCCTAAGGTCCTAAAATTTCTAGAGCATGAGTGATTTTAAGAAATTTCGGCAAAGGCCGAAATTCCGGAATTCCTAAAGTACCTTTTATGCTCCCCAGACACCTCCGGCCCGAGGCCTCGGCGGGTATTAGTTACGTCATAGTTCTTGTGTATGAGTTCTTGAATATTTTGGTACTGTTACATTGCGAGAAGTTTTACCGTAACATTTGTGAACTGCTGTTGCATCGTTTAGAGTGGTCGTACACCTTGAAACGCTGCAGGCTACAAGGATATATGTAAGAGAATCAAAAACACCCAACAAATCTAATTCTCTCCTCACACTGGTCACAACCCTGCCAATTAGGTTCTGCATCGTGACATCAAGAGCGCAACTTGTCGGCATGCCTTTGGGAAAGAGGAGCCACTCGTGTTTGAGACTGGAGGCAGAGGAGTTCTTCAGGTGCAGTTGCGCAATGCTAAATAACTGGAGCAGCTGGTGCTATCTGTCAAGTCGAGTGACACTGGTCAAGGCCAATGTCTTGATGGGACACAGTGCAGATGGCGGAGCACTTTGTCAGCACATTGTTTAAGAGTGCTACGATGCGGGTGACCCCTGCTGTATGCCGCACACCCTTGCGGACACCTGCAGCCATGCTCAGCCCTAAACCCTAAACCCTAAACCCTAAACCCTAAACCCTCTGCTGATGCAGGAGCTATGTGCAAAACTGGCAGACTTCGGCTGCTCAAAGAGGACTTCGCATCACCGTTAGCTCATCCTTTGACATCTCCACTTGCTTCAGTGATTCAGACCTTGTAGGGTTTAGGGTTTGGGGTTTGGGTTTTGGGGTTTAGGGTTTAGGGTTTAGTAGATGCCAACATGATGGGCAGGAATGAGGTCACACTCTCTCACACGATCAAGGGCTCCATCCCATGGATGGCACCTGAGGCCGAGATCCGCCAAAAGCGTTTCATGCCCGGGCTACCATGAGAACTGTTCGGGTTTAAGGTTTAGGGTTTATAAGGTTTAGGGTTTAAGGTTTAGGGTTTATAAGTTTTAGGGTTTATATCAGGTTTAGGGTTTATATATGGTTTATAAGGTTTAGGGTTTCGGGTTTAGGGTTTAGGGTTTAGGGCCCTGCCGTCCAAGAATGCAGGTCGTGAAGAACGTAGGCATCTTGGCAGCAAGGATCATAAGCACCTGATTCTGGGATTCGGCATGGAGCTCAGGATACGGAAGGATGGCCGACATTTGGAGTTTTGGCTGCGTCATCATCGAGATGGGCACAGCTCAAACACCTTGGGGGCCACTTGCCTTGCAGCCTCTTCATGTGGGCTTGCGGAAAAGCAGTCGTGTATAATCCAAGGCCCCGAACTGCCCGAAAACCTTCGACCCTAAACCGCTCGATGTGACCCGCGTCGAATTCCCACAGGCCCTGCCGTAGGGGACCTAAGCAATCCCCTCTGGCAGGAAGTTCGACAACCCCATGGCTGCCATGCCCCTTGGACTCCTGACATTCTGTCACACTGCAAGCTGCAGGCTCAATGAAATTGATAGGGTTTAGGGTTTAGGGTGTAGGGTTTAGGGTTTAGAGCCTAGGGTTTAGGGCCTGGGGTTGAGGGTTCAGGTCTAGGGTTTGGAAGAAATAGTGCCCCAAGTTGAAGTTGTATGGAACCTGGTAGCTTTTCTAAGCGATGACCCCTTTCGGAGGGACTTACGTATGATGAAGAGCACCCTTAAAGCGGGGCCGATCAGGGAAAACTGGTCATTTCGGGCGCGGGATCCTAAACCCTAAACCCCTAAACCCTAAACCCTTGAGGTATAAGATCGGCATGTCTGGCGAGACGCCTCCGTTGCCAACCTCCTTCTCCCCGAGCTGCGCGGACTTCACCCAGCGCTGCCTGCAGCGCGAGCCCACGGACAGGCCGGCCTGCCATTGGGGTTTAGGGTTCAGGGGTTTCCGAAATTTGGGGTAAGGGAATCCAACTATATCCAACTATTTGGGGGTGTATCAGGGGTCCCTTATTTTCGTAAAGTCCCATGTCCATGACTCCTTGCATAAAATGAAACCACACTGGGGTCAGACAGATATTGATCAACATAGGACCACCTCATCCCCTTACAGTGGCATTGTCAACCAGCAACGTGGCAAACACCTCGGTCACATTTGATACCTAAGATGCAAGGCCTGTGTCAAGTTGTCCTTTCGAACCGCAGACCAAAAGCTTTAAGCCCTGAAAGCCCCGAAGACCCCAGGTAGCCCAAACATTTGGGCAGCCCATCCTGGTGCTCGCATTGCACACATCGCCTCCCCCCGAGTAATCGGCCCTTGCAGGGCTGGCGCTGCTGACTTGCTACAACATCCCTTCGCAACTTGCTATGCAGCCCTGGGAATTCTTGTAGTCAGCTCTGCGTAGGTTTTTCCCTGCGAAGGTTTGCAAGAGGTTTGCGTCTGCACATTGCGGCTTGAAGGCACGGTTTTGCAAGTGCCAAAGTAACGTTTCGCGTAGGTTTGTGTAGTTTTTGTTTGCGGAAGGCTCACCGTGTAAGCTAAAGCCCTGCCCGTGTAGGTTTTCGTGGTACTCCTTCGCGAGAAACAGGTGTCATCAGAATTTTCGTCATGAGGGGATCCCTGAACCCGGAACCGGACGGGGGTGGTTTAGGTTTCAGGTTTTGGGATGCCATGGCAGCTTAAACCGTCGCCTACAGATTGCTACCTACTGGGGCTGACGGTCAACGCAGGGCTCATTACTGTCATTACTGTCGTGTATTGGGTTTTGGGTTTTGGGTTTAAGGTTTTGGGTTTAGGGTACGTTCACGTCAGAAGAATCGTTGGGTGGCAATATGTCATAGTTGCACCATGCCGCCAACGAGCGCAGCATTGCTTGAGACCGTACAGAGCTGCACCGGCGGTACCAGTAGACCCTGACATGTCTCTTTTGCGCGGTGCTGCTCAGTGAACGCCAGAAGGGTCCTTTTTGGGGATCCTGTTTATAAGGTGCCGTGCGACATGGTGACCTCAACAAGGGAGCCTAAGTTAGAGAGCTACCCATGGATGAAGCTCTGCTGATGTCTGGCCGACTTGAGGTGTTGGAGGCTGGTGATGACTGATGCCAGAGCTGCCTTTTAACGGCTGCAGAACACATGCGCCTGCCCTGACCATTCATTGGCAGCTTGTGAGCACGTGCCAATTACGACCTGGTTTAAAAGCTACAGCTTGGGATGTCCCCCCTTAAACTAACAGTCCTTAATAGGCATTCTAGTACCCCCTAATATAATCCCTATCAAGGACTGGGGGAGCATCGCAAGCCACAGCTGCCAAGCTTCCTTTTCGTGCTGCAGTTGAGTGAGACCTTAAGTGTTGCGTGCTGCTCCTCAACGTTTGTACCAGTACCCAGGTTAGATGGACAGTTCCTGTGCTTCATGCTTTGATGCGCTGTGCTCTTAGTCTGTTGCTGGATCTGACTGCAACAGCAGAGCAAGTCACAAGGCATCCCCTTATTATATCCTGCAGCCGTCTCACATCAGCAGCAATGCTGCCTTAGTTAAGTGCCCTTTGGGCCTTCAACGCTGGACCTCCGTTAAGCGGTCTGTCCAGTTTTTCATCTCGTCTGGATTGTGCTGAGATTGGCCGATCAACACGTAGCGGCCGGGTACAAGGGCGTGGTTGAGTTGGGAAACCTGAACACAATCACGCACGCAGCGCTCTCCTCGTTCACGAATGTCTCCGCCAGGGGGAAAAATTGCCAATCGAGCATTTCTGACTGACACAAGCAACAGATGAGAGTTTGCATGCGTTTCGAAAATGTCGATGTTACTTGATCCGACGTGTTCTTGCTCTGCAATACCCAAACTGTGAAGGAGCTGCTGTTTCCGAGCCCCGCAACCTTCGCAAAGCCCGCAGCGCAAGCACGAAGCATGTCCAGGACGACAGGGGCATGAATCCGGAGATTCTCCTGCCTTGCAGTCTTACAGTCTGTTACAGGGAGTTGAGAGATGAGATCAGATGGGCACCTCTTCAACCTCTTCATGCCTCTGCCTAGACGGAATCTGCAAGGAAGCCCATGGGATGACCTATTTTTTTGTTTATAGCGGATCTTTCCGGCCGCCTGGTTGTAGGAACCGTTGCCAAACCACTGTCATGGTAAGATCCATCTCCCCCAGTCTCCGGCAGCGACTTCTGAGCATAAAATCATGTCGTAGCCGTAGCCCATGTATGGCAGAAGGGACGGCTTCGGCCTTCTTTCGGGGAACTCACGTGGCGTCAGGACGTCATATCCGATGACGGCAGCGAGGTCCATATCTTCGCCGAACTTGCTAGGTGCGGTGCAGCTCGTTGACGTCGTGCTTAGCTACAGAAGCTACATGAACACAGTCTCCGCCGCGATTGTTGCCACAAAGATTTGAGAGAGAGCCAGGCAGGTCACACTCGCCTGCTCAAGGGGCGGGAAACTTAGCAAGTCCCCGCGCAACCGCTGGCCAGGCCTGCCGTTCTGGTTGTAGGAAGACCTGACGAACCTATGCATGTGTGTGCAGATGCATTTGCTTACACATGTGTATGGTGTATGTGTGCGAGTGTGTGTGTATGTGTGTGTGTGTGCCCACTTCCTACTGCATCTCACATTGACATGGTCAGGTACCAGCTTGGTGTAATGCGCGACTGACTGGGCATGCCAAGGAGAAAGAATCCTCCAAGTCCGTGAAAGCGTCGCGGCCTTTGCATTCGAGCCTGACCGGCTTTCGGATGCTGCGAACAAATTTGCTTCTGAATGCGCAACGTCAACGCTTGCGGTCGTCAATGTGCCTCGAGCCACCTCCACCTCCCGCCCCACCCCAAGCACCAGGCGCAAGAATCACTAAAACTGCCCTCTGAGCACGGAAGCCGCGGGGATCACCCGAAGCATAGGGTTTAGGGTTTAGGGTTTAGGGTTTAGGGTTTAGGGTTCCGAAGATTTCCTGTAAACCCTAGAGCAATACGCGCCAAAACCCTAAAACCCCTAAAGTCCACCCATCTTTTCAAGAGGGGGCGCCCTTGGCGGGCGCCTTCTCTCAACCCTGTCGGTTTAGGGTTTAGGGTTTATAATAGGGTTTAGGGTTTAGGGTTTAGGGTTTCAGAACTCATCTGCTATTTTGCTTAAGAAACCCTCAACCCTAAACCCTGAACCCTCAACCCTGAACCCTCTCCAAGCCCTGTGTTCCTAACGTGTGCTGAGGCCGCAGAGCCTGCTGTCCCTAGTCTCCATGGAAGGGAACAGGAGGCCTTCCATCCTGCGCCGAAGATCGCCCTGGGCTTGGAGAGGGTTTAGGGTTTAGGGTTTAGGGTTTAGGGTTTCGGCTCTTGCGGGCTCTGTTCAAACACAGGCCCCTTTGCTCTTGCAGTCTACGGCACACCTCCCCCTCCCAAATCCAACAACATCGGGGATCATGTGGGATGTTCCCCCTTGTACTAGCAGAACAGTTCTTGACCAATAGGGATTATAATAGGGGTACTATAATCCCTAAACCCTAAACCCTAAACCCTAAACCCTAAACCCCCTTTTAAAAAGGACTGTTAGTATAAGGGTGAGCATCCGGATCATCGTGCGGAGCGTCAGGGCCTGACCCTGTCAGCGCGTCAATCTCGCCGAGCTGTTCCGAAAGCCGGGTCCGAGCAGACTGTAACCTTGAAGCCCGGCATATATATATATATATATATGTATATATATGTATATATATATATATAGATATGTATATATATATATACACCATCATACATATATATATATATATGTATGTATATGTATATGTATATGTTGATCTACATATTGTATAGTGTAATATTATATGTATATATACATTATTGATTCATTTATTATAACTATATTTACATTTATATTTATATTTATATTTATATTTATATTTATATTTATATTTGCGTTTATATTTATGTGTATATATATATATAGAAGAGTATTTGGCTCGCAGTAACATCAAAATGTCAATAAGTCTAGTCCACTTGACCTGAGGTCTATGGGAGCGTTGGCCGATGCCATAACGAAGATGCAGATGCACCCAGGAATGTAGCGGAGAGCCCAGCTGTGCCGAGCGCGCTGAGGAGTCGAACCTAAGCATTCACGTGGCCCCGTTGCTGTGAGCAAAAGGAAAACCTGCAGATCCAGGTTTTGGTTTGCTTGTACAACCCGGCCGCCTTTTTAAGAGACGTTCCGATTGTCTTATATTTCCCAGTACTGTTGCCATGGTTTCTATCCTGGCCGACAGAGGCAAGCGAGATGACAGACCGCAAACGATTGAGAAGTGGCAACGTAGCAATGCTTATCCCAAACTTGAGAACCTTCTCCAGATGATCCCTCTTTCTTTTCATGCGCTCTGGCCCTCTCCTTGCAGGAGCAGCAATTTCCTTGGCCATGCAACAACTTTTCGCGTCATTCTTTTGAAGGCGCCGGAAGCAATGTTTTTCCCCAACAGGCCTTCCTTCCGCACACGCAGACCTTACTGACCAAGTCAGAAGAAGGGAGATTCAACCGCGAAGCCGAGCCGGCAGGCGAGACAGCTGAATGGTTTTGGACCGTGGACCGTTAAGTTAGGGGTTTAGAGGTTTAGGGGTTTGCTCACCCAAGCCTGGATGCAAAAAGGGGTTTAGGGGTTTAGGGGTTTCGGGGTTTGTGTGGGCCTGTATTTCCCGGCAGCTGCTCAGTCCTAGTTGTAAAAGGGTTGAGGGGTTTAGGCTTTAGGGTTAAAGCTAGTTGTTTGTGTTGCAGTCTTCCAGGATTCCTGCCAGCTGACTGCTGGATTGTAAAAATCCAGTGGCAGCTGTCTCACCGAAACATGGACGGCACGGCATCATGTCACGACAAGGGACTCGGCAAAAGGTATGTCCACGGCCTCATATCGTGCAGAAGATGGGCGTACTCTCTGCTCTGTGAGATAGGTGGCGCATCCTGAAGAGAATGGATAGTGCGCGCCACTGCGGCCTGCG